TCAACTTGTTTCGACTGAAGAGCTTTTCAATCAAAAACTAATTAAAATATTGCTCCACATTACAAGCATGGAGACAAACTCAAAAGTTCCTATTTTAGTTGCAATACATTCAGCTTCATGCCTGATTTCACTTTTTTGAGAGGGATTTTCAGCAATCTCATTCAATGCTGTCAAAATTGCTTTAAAATTTTCTTGATGTGTTGTTTTAAAACATCCCAGCGATGCACCGAATTTGAAAAATACGTATACAATAGTTGTACGATAAAAAAAAGTTAACTGCAAACAAACAGCATTGTACAGAAATTTGTCCAACTAAGTTCAACGAATACGTAGCACCCGGTATATGTACCACATGCTAATTAAAATTAAATATTATTGCTTGCATCACTCAGTATACTCCCGACATATTTGCGGCATTGACGTAAGACTGAGCTCTACAATTTTTAATATCTAAGTGACAAGTCTCGCCTAAAAATTTTTAAACCTGTTTTTACAACACTTTTTTCCAGTAATTTTGCTCCGTTTGGAATTGAAGTAGAAGTGTGTCCACACAACAGAACTTTGTTTTCTCCAAATATATGTCAACTTGCATTCTCTGTGTGAGATCCATTTTTATGTTGATGTATTTGAAAAATATTCTTGAAATCATCAAATCATCGCTAGTTTGTTTGATTTTTCTTTAGACATTTACAAGCGAATCAGTACATACAATTAGTTTTTTGGGAACAAATGAGCCATTCTTGCAAAAACCCTTTGCCATTTGCTTTTTTCCCATAAAATGTTTTCTCTGAACAATACAGTGTCTTGGATTCTGTATTGTAAAATCAACAAGAACACTCAAACGGCCCAGAATGATTTCGACATTCTTGTGGACCGCGGCTATTTTAAAAACTGACGTCATTCTTATTAAAAATTCTCCTCTTTCCAGGATTAGTTGAACGACAATCATTCTCAATAGTAAATTGATTTCTGCAATTAAGAGGATCAGATCTAACTATGTATTGTTCAAGACCATTCGAACAGCTATCATTCTGAGGGTTTGTTCAATTTGATGAGCAGGAGAATCGCTGCTGTCGAAATGATCAGTTCTCTCTGTTTGTGATTGAACCTGCAAATTTACTAACACTGCTATAAATATCCATTTAAAAATGCTTCAAATTTACATAAATAGTTATAAATGTTTATTTGTGTAAATATGAAAAATGAAACTAACACTAATCTTCTTTAAAGAACTTGCAATGGATTATTGTTATGATTTAAACTACATTTAAGCTCGCAACCGCCTCAATCAACTTTTCGCGCGCAGTTTAAAAATATGAACTGAGAAAAATGCTAGGCAAGACAGAATAAATTTTTATTAATAATATGAATAAAATAAAAAACAATAAAAAATTATAATAGCAATAGCAGTAATAACAGCAAAGTAAACAAATTTCAAAGTTGCTATTAAAGAACTAGTTTGATATTTATTTACTTAAAATTATTTATTAAAACATAAATAAATTTCAAAGTATACTTTGAAATTTATTTACTTCTCTTTTCCTAAACATTCTTGAGGTTTTTAAGTCTCTATGGTGAGAGCGTAAAAAACTTAAAAATACATTGCTTAATTGCAGGGTTACCTTGCACAGAAATATTTTAAGTATTTTTATAAATTTAGTAGAATAATAATTATCATAAATGTTTAAATTGCATTATTTGCAACATTAATTAATTCACAATAAAATATAATATTAAAAAATTATTCATAATAAAAAATAAACTTTCAAAACCTTTTTGGGGGCCCCTATTTATATGGGGCCAAAAGTGATAGTAAACGGTTTTTGACATATTATTTTTGCTTCTAAAAATGTTTTAAATATTTTTATAAATGCAAAATGGTTTGTTATAATTTGTACTATTTAAATTATTTGCTTCTTTTCAAACTAATTCCAAAGAAAAATAACGTAAAAAAGACGCTACAAAAAACAATGGAAAATCTTGCTTTAACTCACGGTTAGCACGGATCCTTATCCCAAGAACGCCACTTATACGGAAAGTTCAAGTACACATCAAGGTACCCTGTGATGAAAATTTTGAAATCATTTAATTTTGTCCGCGGAAAATAATTTAGTTTGAATGTTCAAGTTAAGTAAAATTTTGACTTCATAATGCGCCAATAAAAACACTTATAGAATTTGAACCACTCAATATAATTTGATATAAATTTTTATAATTTAATAAACATTTTATAGTCAATAGCCACACCAAATTCTGGACAATTCTGGACAAAATTTCACCCTAATTGGATGACTGTAGGATTTATTGCAGTTTTAGTAAAGTTTTGTCAGTTTTTTGCTACTTATACCTCAAAGCGTTACCGATAACTTTGAAGTTTGGTCACTATTTTTAAAAAATCGGTTACATGAGTGTTCTACTATGTAATACCAAAATTTTTGTTATAATTATTTTATCAGTACATGTAGAGTTTTGATTATATAGACCAAAATCGTGATTTGCTACTTAAAGCGTGATTTGAAGTGACTTAAGCCAATGGCGTTGATACGGCCTTCAAAATGGAGGGGGTCAACCACTCAATTTCTAAAATAAAATCCAAAATTTCTAAAATAATTGCTATGTTTCTAAAACAAAAGGTTCTCGCAAAAAAAAAATGGGCAGGCCATGGCTTCCTTGACGGCCATGTATGTTTCGCTTGAATATACCAACATTTCCAAAGGTATAAACTACTGCCAGAATGCAAAAAAATTTCGAAAAAAATGGTTAAGAATTTCTATGTAGGTACTCCAAGAACGGATTTTTCGGGATACCTACATAGAAAATAAAAATATATATTTATATGAAAACAGAACAACTGTGAAAAAACCAAATATTTTTTATATTGACTTAAAAAATTTAGATAAGTTATCTGACCAAGACAAAGTTTGGAGGGCCAGTCGGAGGAAAATTACTCTAACTGATTAACTAATTAGGTTGCAAGGTTGTTTTGAAATAAAACAAATATAAATTCAGGGTTGTTTTGAAATATCGAATATAAATTTAGGTCAAATTTTGTAAAAGGCAGAGTTTGATTTAGTGAAGTCAAATTTAGTGAATTGCCACGATGCAAAGAATTATGATGAGAAATGAAAGTTTGTGTTCTTGCACTGTCTGAAAAAAATTTTAAGACAGCTTACTACTTTTCAAGCAGATCGAATATGCCACCTGTACAAAACCAAGATCAATACCAGTGATACTCGGGTACCAAAAGGATTCTGCGAATCTTGTAGAATTACTTTGCACAGGAAACAAGAGGGGAATGAAGTTACATTTCCTCCTTTGTTTGATTTTAAGTCAATACAAGTGAGATCTAAACAAGAGGCACAATGTGTTGTTGCCTAATATGCCGAATTGGTCGTTCAAAGTTGCAAGAAAAACATCCTCTTATAGAGCAAATCACTATTGAGAAAAAAAAAAGGTACGTTGCAGCAAATGCCACAGCCCTTTAGGTAAAGGTTTGCCCCACCAATTCTCTCAAATAATGTTAAGGGAAAACATTCAATTTTTAGCAGCAAAAGATGCCAAATCATCTAAACAAATCGCATCTCGAGTTATTTTCAATAAAGAATTATCTCCGTAAGAAACAATTTTACTGGCTAAAGCATCCGGCGGGCCACCACTTACAGTTACCCCTGGTAAATATTTATACTTAAATAATTTTAACATATATATTGAAATAAAGTCTTGACTATTAAGAAATAACACTAGATAGATTTCAAGAAGTATACTTTTGACAAGTTTCTCATTTCTTAAAAAACGAATAATTTGAAAGTTTTACACAAACTGACGAAACAAAGTTTATTGTAACTATAAAATATGTATGTTTTGGTTTTAGGTCAAAGTAGTGCGCAGTCACCATCAAGTTCTCCAATATTGACCACTGTAGCCCTTGAAATGTGCAATTAAATACGGGCCTGTCAAACAATGGATTAAATAAACTTGTTAAATCTATAAACAAAACATAGAGCAGCAAGATGGTAGAGCGAAATTTCTACATGAATTTTCTAAGACTAGGTCAACGACTTTAAAATCACAGACAAAAAAACAAATTTTTGTACAGTTCATGATGTTGCTCTCTGCAATGATTTATCAAGTCTTGTAAATCATGTTATTTAGTCCCGCAAAATTTTCTTGTGGCTATTTTGTCAAGCTCAGAATCGATGGTGGCAAAGGTTTTCTCAAGTTTTGCCTGAACATTGTTGATACTGCGTTAAGGAATGAAACCAGCATACCGCACCAACAACAACCTCTCACTCAAAGGACTGGTAAAGATACTGGACTCAAGAGACAAACTATTATTGGGGTTTCAGAGGATTTGCCAGAAACACACAACAATATTGAAAAAATCTGGTCACTGATTAATGTAAGTGAATTTAAACTAATTTTGGCTTGTGATATGAAAGTTGCAAATACGATTTGTGGTCTTCAAACTCATTCATATACGCACCCTTGCACCTGGTGTGATGTCAAATCCAATTGTCTTGTTAAATCTGGAAACTTGTGAACACTGGACTCAACTAATTTAACCCTTGAGTCTTTTCAGCAATCTGGCGGGGTTGTTGCTAATGCAAAGCTGTTTGGCAATGTCATTCGAAAGCCGATCATCTGCGGGCCTGTCAATGTTCTGATTTTGGAAATCATTCCACCAATGAAATTGCATCTCCTCTTAGAAGTTGTCAACCATCTTTTAAAAATAATACTGCTTGGATAGAAGCAGTTAAGTGGCCAGCCGCCCTCCACATTCAACTTAGCCCATATCACGGGGACCAGTTTAATGGAAATCAATGCAGGAAGCTTCTTAAAAATGTGGATATGCTGTAGCAACTTGCTGAGACAAACATGGTCTCATTAATGTGCGCATAATTGAAGCATTCAAAAGCTTCAATTTAGTTGTCAAGGATTGCTTTGGATACATCCTTCAGCCGGATTTCACTGAAAAAATTGAAAATTTTAAAAAGTGTTACCTAATAATAACTAGTGCAAGCGTAACACCCAAAATTCACGCCGTCTTCTACCACATCAAGGATTTCATCAGTCACAAAGGATCCTCCTTGTGGCACTATAGTGAACAAACTGTCGAAACTTCTCATCAAAATTTTTATCAACGTTGGTCGAGGTATAAGCAAAATAATAATCCAGAGTACAAATAAAGATTGTTGTGCTGCATAATTGACCTAAACAGTAAGCATCTTTAAAGAACATTATTTGAGTTATTAAAAATTAGGCTGCTGAAATCCATATTTTACGGCGTATAATGAATATTTTCACCATCTTTAAAAATAGTATTATAGAGTATTTGTATTAAAAGAGTACATTGAGCTATTTATTAATAATCTTTTGGTGGAGAAAATCAAAAAAACATTTCTTAAAATGTAATTAGATATTTGATGGTAATACAATGTAAAAAATAGGTTTTAAATAGTTTTCACTTTAAATTAAAAGTAAATGTATTTAAGGAGGTCAATACAAAATATTTAAGGAGATCTCCTTTTTTTTTTTTTGTTTTACTTACTAGTAGTCCTTTGACCAGGTTTTGCACTTTTTTTTAGCTTTTTTTTTTGGCAGCAGTTTATACCTTAGGAAATGTTGGTATATTCAAGCGAAACATACATGGCCGTCAACGTCAACGCCATGTATGTTTTGCTTGAATATACCAACATTAGGGGGTCATGTCCTTCTCTACTTTTTTTTTTGAGAGGACCTTTTGTTTTAGAAATATAGGCAATTGTTTTAGAAAATATGGATTTTATTTTAGAAATTGAGGGGTTGACCCCTCCACTTTGAAGGCCGTGTCGACACTATTAGCAAAAGACTATTTAAATCACGCTTTAAGTAGAAAATCACTATTTTGGTCAATAAAATAAAAACTATACATGTACCGAAAAAATAATTTTAACAAAAATTGTTGGTATTACATAGTAGAACACTTATGTCACCGTTATTTTAAAAAAAGTGACCGAATTTCAAAGTAATTGGTAATGCTTTGAGGAATAAGTAGCAAAAAACTGACAAAACTTTAACTAAAACTGTAATAAATCCTACACCAGTCATCCAATCAGGCTGACATTTTGTGACTTCGTGTGACTATTGGCTACATTTGCACCAACTTCTATCAAATTATATTGATTGGTTCAAATTCTACAAGTGTTTTTATTGGCCCACAATGAAGTCAAAATTTGACTCAATTTAAACATTCAAACAAAATTATTTTCCGCGGACAAAGTTAAATGATTTCAAAATTTGCATCACATGGTACCTTGATGTGAACGCTAACTTTCCGTATAAGTGGCGTTCTTGGGACAGCTAGGTAGACAAATATAAAAACTCGTATTAATATATATATATATATATATTAATACGAGTTCTCTCTATACTATTGTTAATTTATTTGAAATTTTTGCTGCGTTATAGTTACCAGCATCATCAACTATATTATCGTAATTAAAAATTAAAATTGTGATTGTTATATTAAATAACAAAAATTAAACTTTGACGTCAGCGTTACAGCGGCTTCTTTGCGCAAGAATGCATAAAATGGAGTCCAAAATTTATTTTTAACGAATTGTCCGTTATCTAAGTTTATTCCCAAGAACACCATAAAGTGGAGAGCATTGATGTTTTTGAATCTCTAATGCTTCACGAACTTTCCTATCAATTTTATTACATTCTTCTTTAAGTGTTTTAACTTTATCTCAATTAGTTTCTTCTGTACAGTTTTTTTTATGAAGAGCTATAGCCGACTAATAGTGCTTATCTTCCATCAAACATTTTTGGTGTTATTGAGGTCTTGTTCTGATTTGTAACTTTGTTTCACTAACATAAACTTTGGAGCAATTACAGTCAATTAACTTATTAAAAAACAACGGTTTTCGAAAGCAGAATATCATATATATACGCAAGCGATCTCGTACCACCTCGTTAATATGGTCTTATCAAGGTCCATAAACCCGATAAGTTGTATTCAATGAGAGATGTAGTATCAACAATCGACACACCTAGGTATGGAATTTCAAAGTATTTGGTTAAAAAAATACAACCATTCTAATGATTTCATCAAAAAAACTTAGGCCTGGATTATCAATAAGGACGAGTTACAAGTACCTTTTGATATTGTAAACTTATATTCATCACTACCATTAAAAGAAGCAATTTTATTCTTTTAGATCAATTAAATAAAAAAATTTCCTATAAAAACTCAACCAAACTTGATTTAGTAGAAACCAAACAGCTAATAGAACTTTGCTTATATCGTTGTTAATTTATGTGGAACAACGAGATACACGAATTAGAGAACTCTGGCCCTATTGCATTATCTTTTATGGTTGTTTTAGCTGAGTCGTTTCTACAGTACCACCAGGAAAACGCATTAAAAATAGCGAAGACTATAAATCCTTTTATTGATATTAAATCCTTTTCTTCGATAAGTAGATGACAATCATGCTAGATTTCCTAATTTACAACAAGCAAAACAATTCTAAAATATACTTAACAAACAACATTCATCATTAAAATATACAAGAAAAGCTGAATATGTATTGAAAACACTAAACTTTCTTGATGTCACCATAATTAACAATGGTAATGGTAAATACGGTTTTAAAGTTTATAGGAAAGATGCTACAACCAATATTCAGATTAAACCTCATTCAAATCATGATCCTAAAATTTTAAAGTCAATATTCACAGGTTATATTAATAGAGTTTACAGCATATGTAGCGAGGCATATCTTCAAGAGGAGATTAACTTTTTAATGAATATATTTAGTGAAAATGGTTATAACAAAAGTCAGCTTCAAATCATTGCTAACCAAGTTAAAATAAAACGATCTACTAACAGGAATAAAATCCCTAATGCAAAAAAAAATTTAACTACCAACAAATCCAAATTATCTTCAAAACTTTATCCATTTTATCTTCAAAACTTAGAAAAATATTTTGGAATGGTGGTTGCCGCACTGTTATCAAATCTAATTATAATTTAAGGACTCTATTAACATCAAAAAACAAATCGAGGCTACCGGACAACATTAAACCTGAAATTTATTTAATTGACTGTAATTGCTCCAAAGAGTATGTTGGTGAAACAAATTACAAATCAGAACAAGATCTCATCAACACCAAAAATGTTAAAGGAAGATAAGTATTATCAGTCGGCTATAGCTCTTCATAAAAAAAACTGTACAGAAGAAATTGATTGGGATAAAGTTAAAACACTTAAAGAAGAATATAATAAATTTGATAGGAAAGTTTTTGAAGCATTAGAGATTCTAAAATTATCAACGCTCTTGATTTTATGGTGGAATAAACTTCTATAACGGACAATACGTTAAAAATAAATTTTGTTTAAATAAATTGTTTTATATCATAAATTATGATGTAAAACAATATATACAATACACACTATAACTACTTCATTAGATACAAAGGAGACTTAGTAACATAAAAAACATGTAATTGTATAAAGAAATGCTTTTGATTGGTTGTAATTGTAAAAAAATAATGTTCTTTTAATTGAGAAACAGCAAAACATCAGGTGAACATTGGTCTATCTCTATATTTACCATGTCTACTATTCACACCATACACCTTTTATGACATAACATACCACAACTCAAACTAAGTAACATTTTCTTTGAATTAAACACTTGAATTCTCCTCCTCCTTCCTTTCGGAATTAAAACTTTTTCTTTATTATCTTCATTTTGAGATGTAAGACTTTGGAAAAAAACTGTGGTGCACTAGAGGTATATAAGGAAGAAGTTGCTTGTGATCCTTCAATTTAGCTTCAGTGAGTTGTCTTACTTCTAGATATAAAATAACTGGACCAGCAGCACTTATGGATAAAAAACAACCGTTTTTCTTAAAAAGTCTGCAATCTTCCAAATTTCTAAGTTGTTTAATAAGTACTTGAATTGCATCATCATTGGGTTTCTTGATTCTATACGCAGACACTGAATGTGTAATCGTTTAACTTGTTGTCCATTAATAGTCTTATGTCTATTAACAGAATTATCTTTCACCCAATCAGCAAGAGACAGAAATTCGTTTTTCTGCATTTAATAACCTGAACTCTTTCTTTGCTTTTGATGCAAATACCACCAATTGTTCAGGAATGTTCAAGTCATGCTTGTGACAACCTTTTTTAGTCACACCAAAATTGGCATCATTTGGCAGAAAACTGTGACCTGTCTTCAAGAAAACATCCTTACCATAGCCATCTTGAAATTTCGATTTTAGCCTCCACAGCTGTCCGAATATGTTACAATATTTTACAACCTTTTCAGACAATACTTCATTACACATGAACCAATTTCATCTCGTGCTCTTGAAGTCATTGCTTTATGTCACATATACATTGTAGCTTCATTATTCCCGAGATCATAAATTCCAAGATTATATACTTGATCCTGTCTACAGTAGTAAGGCAAATTTGTAGAAATACAACGGCAATGTAGTGTTTTCCCTAAATCGAAATTAAAAGCGAGTGTCTCTGCAGATTATACATTTTTTGAATTTCTCAGCCTCATTCTTGCACTCTGAGCCTGTTTTAAAATGAAGTTCGTGAGCAGTCTTCTGAAGGTTTTTGTGTTCACCATTTGCTATCTGCATATCATTTTAAAATTTTTCAAACATTGCATTTATCTTTCATTGGTATGTGAAAAAATAAACTAAATAGATAAATTTTCATTAGGATTTTCATTAAATAAGATAAATTTTCCTTCAGACATTCTCTGTAAGCCCATTCCTTAATGGGATCAATGTGCCGTTCCTTAAAAAGTTCTAAATATAAATTGTACATAATTTTTAAACTCAAATTGGAGATATTTCCTCTTATTCTCAGTTCTATTATTCTTGTATAATGCCTGACGTATTGTGAGAAGGAAGCTATGTGCTCCTTAGAAGAAGTTTTGTCAATATTTTTATGATAATTGTGATTACCCCTCCCATCCATTTTTTGTACTCCACCAACTGACGGTCTGAGAATTCTGTTGGTTCGACCGTTACTGATTTAGAGCAACTGTAAAAACAATAATTTACATAATATAATACCTCCATTTTTAGAATGCACTGTGAAGGTACAAATTGTTGACTTTTTTCTTCTCGTCTGTTTTAGAAGGTCTTTCATCTCTATGGCGTACCACTTCTTTCCTCTCAACAGAACGTGTAACAAAACGTGTAACAATCCCAAAGCCCAAAATGAAGAGTGAGTAGTCTTAATGTCTTAGATATCTAGTTTAATGATACAATCATTCCGACATTTATGTAAAGAGAGATTAGGAAGACATTTTCCTTCAACATGCCTTTCTCGTTTAGTTAGGTACGTCTCACCTGAATTCTTGAGGTTTATGAAGCTGTTTGAATTTCAAACATCAAAGTGTTAAAAATAGTTTATATTTTGATTATTTAGAGTTTTACTTTGTTTATTGGTTGTTATTTTTCCCCAAAAACTGATTTAAATAATTCGAATAATTTTCTCAAAAAAATTGGTCAGAACACTTTGTACACTGCCTCAGCTGGTGTAGTAGCTTGTTGTCTAAGTTGCATAATTTTTGTTTATAAATTTATTAGGCATGTAAAATCTAAAGAAGTTTGTTTGCCTACTATAGTTATGTTTCATTGCTATTGCATAACCTACTTTACTGTATACATTTTTTCGCATACGGGGTAACTTTGAATAACGTTCAAAGTAACTCCACTACATAAATAGTCAGAAACAATTTTATAATTTTCTTTGTCACACATGTATTATACAAAATATATTAAGTATTATACATAATATTATTGTGATTAAAAATTAAAATATCATGTGTTTAAACAGTAAGTCACACATACACACATAGTTTGTGTGTGCGTGTTTGTCTTTATGTGTATATGTGTATATGTGTGTATACATTGCATTTATATATATATTTATGTAAATGTGTGTGTGAGTGTTTGTATATGTATGTATGTATGTATGTATGTATGTATGTATGTATGTATGTATGTATGTATGTAAATATATATATATATATATATATATATATATATATATATATATATATATA